TAACCTGTTCACTCAACCGGAAAATGTAGGTCAGATTCAGCATCCGAAGCAATCACGGTAGTATGCATCCTTAGATGTATCATCCATGCAAGTTTGGTCAACATAGGGCTTATAGTTACTTGGAAATGAAACCCACACCAAAAACTGCACCAAAAATGTTAACCTGCTTCAAAAACATTAACCTGGCAATTCCTTTGCTGAAATTGCAGCATCTGAAACTTTGTCTGGTACAATAAAACACACTAAAACCATCTTCCATGCATGTCTAATCAGTATAGGACACAGAAGTAATTAAAAAGAAAACTGCTCCAAAAAACTTAACCTTAACCTGGGACGCCGACCCGACACCGACACCGACGCCGACGCCGAGGGTATCACATAAGCTCCCCCCAACTTCGTTGAGGTGAGCTAAAAAGGGGTCAGTTATGAAGGCTTTTTTCTTCTCCTCAATGAATCACATCAATACAAATTTTGCCTTTTGGTTCTAGTAAGCCACTTTTTTTTTTTTTTTTTTTAGAAATATTCAGATTAAAGGTTGTTAACATTAATGAAATAAATCTTATAGACATAGAAACCATTACAACATTTACAGAATAAATCTCTTTAGATGCTGTCTGTTTGATAATAGGAGCCTGCACCAGTTATCACTCATACTTATCATTTCTTAGAAACCCAAAGTGACATCTGAAAGGAAAATTCAATATTGTGGCTGGTAATTTTTGTGAGATAGGCTGAAAGTTCTGGTGTTTGGTACATGGTATTCTGAAATGATTCAGACAATTTTAACACACAAAACAGAGAGGCTGAGTCACACATACACACACAAAGAAACGACCTTGAAGTCTCAGAATGAATCCGTTGAGATCTTTTATTGGATGAAAATGTCATTTTTTTAATTAATAAATCAATGTTCTCTTAACATGATTTTAAAAAAAACCATTTAATTAATAGTCTTAATGCTCCTGTATGTTCAAATACCACGTACTGTTGCATTATAGCTGAAGTAAAATTATTTCAAATACCTATATATCTATGAATTACTTTCACCCTGGTATAGTTATATGATTATAGATAATTTTTTATGAATTTTGTCACCATAACCTGATAGAGGAGGAATCTATTTTTGCCTTCAATCAAATTAAACTACTTTGCCAAGTTTCTATTTATGAACAAGAAAAGGCATGGATAAAGTTGTTAGCACTTAAATTATATAATTTCTTTTTATTATGAAACCTTTAACCAGGATTTAATTTTTTTTAAGTATTTGTCTCCAACAGATCTGATTTGAAAAAAACCCAAACCAAAGATGCCTATATACATGTACTACAAAATTATGGTATATACATGTATATCCCATTGCTTAATAGGTAAAGTTGGATGTCACAGAAGACCCTATATGTAAATCGGTTTTACGAGCTCTGGTCAGTAGCCCAATGTGATTAATGACTGACATGAATCAGCTCTGATGAGAAGATGTGTCACCTCTAACTGTAGAAACGGTCATTGATGTGGTCAGCCAGAAAATGTTGGTCAGAAAGATGCCAGGGTCAAGGGATGTCCAATCAGCACAATAGATTTATAAAGGGGGATGAAATCAATCGGTGGGGAAAAGCTGAAGAGTCAGATTTCATTTTCGACGCAACAAAGCTGGCTATTCTTGTGATATTACAGCAGGAAATTGTGAGTCATTGAACATGACCAATATTTGGATAATGAAGGCAATTAGAAAGAGTAAATAATATTATTCATGCATGAGTTATCAGGCAATCCCTGACAGTGCTTGAAGTTCATCACTGATTAATGAAAAAAAAATGCTCATATCAAGATTCTTTGTTTAAGATGAATACTGAAATTAGGAAATGCTAATTTCAATACCCAGAAAATGCTATAATTTTTAATATCAATTTGATTAAAAAATTTAAAATGGTTACATTAAAAATCACAAAAAATTTATCAGTAAGGTTATTGTCAGAATCTGAGCTTGGTAAAATGGTTTGTCGAATCAGCCAAAATAAAATCATGTACAAACTGCACTTGCTAGTCTAGCTGGCTCATTGAACCTGTCAACAGGGTAATGCAGACGTGAGATGGAATTTTTATCTGTGTCCATCACTTGAGAAGAAATCAGACAGCTCCAATGGTTTATTGGGGTCAAAGGGCATTGAGAAGTGCAGATTGAAACAAGATAAATTATCAGCTGCTTGGCACGTTTTGTAAACAAACAAAAGGCATGTTTCTACAATGAACTGAATTGTATGCCCAACATAACCCAGACAGGTATTTATTGCCATAGACACACATTCAGATGAAAAATGAACATAGCTAGCTGGCAATTTCATTCAGATGTCTATAGAGTCTGCATGTGCCTTAATGCATCATTAAATGCATGCACACACATGAAACTCTATTTAGAAGCATTTTAGAAGCAGATGTAGTCCTGTGCTTAGTCATCTGTAGAAAACATCTGGCTCGATCTCATTTCAGTGGCCATAGCTGCCAAAGAAAGATAACTCAGTCTACTTTTAAGCTTGCTTTCAGATTTATCCTTCTTAAAATGAATGTATCAAAAATGAGGACTCCCAATAAATAGTACAGTATGTGTCTTTTAATATCCATTCCTCCGTCTTATGAAGTAGAAAGAAAAAGGCTTAAGAAAGGCAACTCCAGATATTTGGGTGAACATTAAAGAAGTCAAAATAATTTATGTCATTACAATGAAATGATAATTGTATTTTATTTGAAGCAAATAATCAAATAATTTGATACAAAATGATTTAATATCGTATAAGGGGAAATTTTAGTGAGACGCAAATCAAGCAATATGTCCTCAAAAAGTGGATTTTTAGTGAGATGTAATTTTAGGAATTTCAAAATGCTCACTATAGAAGCTATTACAAATAAAATGTGATTAGTTGTTAGCGATATTCAATTTTAACAATCTCATACCCTCACTAATATTAATGCCCAAATTAAATCCTTGCTAAAAATTCTGCTTATGTTGTATTCATGTTACTACATACATGTATGAATATTTATGATCACTCACTGCAAGTACATGTATGAAATCTTGTAGGATGGTTAAAGTAGATTTTTAAAAAAGGTATCTAACTCAGAAATTCTGTTGTGGGAAGGTGGTGGTGGTGGTGGTGGGGGGGGGGCTTTCTTTAACTTAAAAAAAAAAATTGGCATATTTTCTTTCCTTTCAAATGCTAAAATTCAAATTACAGCAAACTACAGCAAAAAATTCTAAGAATCCCCCCCCCCACACACACACACTATAGGCCTTTAAAAGAAAGAGCAGATTTCTGTAACTCAGTGATTTATATTCTATCAAACATTTTCTTCACATTTATCATGAAGAAAAAATAAAGTTACTCAGGGGATACAAAGATTCATATTAACAAGTCAAGATAGTTAATGTTGGGGGTCACCTATTTACGGGCCCTGGTCAAAAGATTATGAACATTGATGTGTCTATTTAATTAACTTCATTATGAATAGAAAAAAACAAGAGGCCCATGGGCCATATCGCTCACCTGAGAAGCTTTGACCATTCTGTTCTTTACCAGATTTCCCCCTTGTCATACATAATGCATCCCCACCCTACCCCACTGATCATAATTTGGACATTTTGAAATCTACACTACCCCAGGATCCTTCCATGTGCTCATAAGTTTCAGCTTTTCTGGCCCAGTGGTTCTTGAAAAGAAGATTTTCAAAGATTTTTCCTATATATTTCTATGTAAAACTTTGATTCCCCATTGTGGCCCTACCCTTTCCCCAGGGGTCATGATTTGAACAATTTAGAATCTACACTACCCCAGGATGCTTCTACATAAGTTTCAGCTTTTCTGGCCCAGTGGTTCTTGAGAAGAAGATTTTCAAAGATTTTTCCTATATATTTCTATGTATAAATTTGATTCCCCATTGTTGCCCCGCCCTTCCCCAGGGGGTCATAATTTGAACAATTTAGAATCTACACTACCCCAGGATGCTTCCACATAAGTTTCAGCTTTTCTGGCCCAGAGGTTCTTGAGAAGAAAAATTTCTAAGATTTTTCCTATTTATTTCTATGTAAAACTTTGATTCCCCATTGTGGCCCTACCCTTTCCCCAGGGGTCATGATTTGAACAATTTAGAATCTACACTACCCCAGGATGCTTCCACATAAGTTTCAGCTTTTCTGGCCCAGTGGTTCTTGAGAAGAAGATTTTCAAAGATTTTTCCTATATATTTCTATGTAAAACTTTGATTCCCAATTGTGATCCCGCCCTTCCCCCGGGGGTCATGATTTGAACAATTTAGAATCTACACTACCCCAGGATGCTTCCATATAAGTTTCAGCTTTTCTGGCCCAGTGGTTCTTGAGAAGAAGATTTTTTAATGACCCCACCCTATTTTTGTCTTTTCTTAATTATCTCCCCTTGTGAGGGGACTTGGCCCTTTATTTTAACAATTTAAATTCCCCTTCACCCAAGGATGCTTTGTACCAAGTTTGGTCAAAATTGGCCCAGTGGTTCTTGAGAAGAAGTCGAAAATGTGAAAAGTTTACAGACGGACAGACAGACGCACGCACGGACGGACGACGGACAAAATGTGATCAGAAAAGCTCACTTGAGCCTTCGGCTCAGGTGAGGGTGAGCTAAAAACTTGATTGGGGGGGGGGGGGAAGTTGTGTATTACATGTATCATTTCACTTGCCAAAGATGGCAAAGTCCAACCAGGATTTGGACCTAGATCCTTCAACTGGAAATAGTGTCTTGACATATTGAACATGTTGCTAGCAATCATCATAACTGTTACAAATTATTATTGCCTTATTTCTATGTGAAGACATCAACATAGTACTGAATGGAAGAAAAAGGGATAAAAGGACCTAGAAACTCTTAAACTCCAAATAGATGATCGTCACACCCAAAGTAATCTGGCAACATATATAAATGAATTTCTGGCTACATGTATTTCAATGTAATCAAGATTTAAAGTTATAAAACTGTTACCTCTTCTCCTGGTTCTAACCTCTGTTCCTCGAAACAAAAGCACTGAAAAGGGAATACAATTCTTAAAAGTACATGTACTCTGAATATTTAGCAAATATTTGTTATGAAAATATTAATTCTGACATTGCTTAGAAGAATTATGTTAATCAGTACATGTAATGCCATTTATTTCTGATACCTGTATTTTATTGAAATAGTATCCAGCTTGCCAGGGAACTATGGTATAGGTAGAAATCCCTATGATGGGCTTGTCTGTGGGGTTTTTGGCTGTGTAAAATGCCAATGCAGTCTCTCCCACACGAACCTGTCACATTGAGAAACACATAATAGAGCCCAAGTATAAATAGTTACACATATTAACTATGTATCTTTTTTTCAGCAATATATTTGTCAGAAGTATTTTAAATCATTCTTTTGAAATTGCAAAACTAAGCTAGATTCCACAATCTACAGGAGTAAGATAGACAATATGGCGTACCTGTATCTCCTTTTGCTGAGGTTTAAACTGCCACTGCATCTGAGCGGATCGGTCGGCATTAAATTTGACTGTGATCACTTTATCCTGTGGTTTCATGGCCTCCACTTTTTCATTGCTTAACTTGACAGCCTTACCTCCTCTTCCAGTTTTCTGTATTTAAAAAAAGACAAAAACATCAGGCATATTAAAAGAAAGTAAAATGATGTCATTATCAGTGTTTGTTTGTATGAAGTGTCTCTAAGCATGTTAGACATTTTTAGACAGTTACCTTGATTAACTCAAGTTCACAGTATCTTAAAGTACATGTATTTCCATGGTCCCAATGTGAATGAGTTTGAAATAATGTGGCTTGACTGTAATATCTATCTAAATAAATCATATTAAATTTAAAAACAAAACATGATACAAATCCCTGGATAAATTCTTGAGCTTACCTGACAGAAGACTCGGTAGAGGGGAACAGATAAAATAGTTGCTCCTGTCATAACAATGGCCACTGCTATAGAATAACGCAATCTATCTGCTGCACCAGAATCCGACTTTGAAGACTGATATCTTACACAGTTTGTTAAAAAAGTAAGCTTGTGTCTCGGTTTATTCAATGATATGCTGAAGTTACTAATTGAATGATGAAAATTCCTTGGCACAGAATGAAAGTAGGAAGGTCCAGATAATTTAGACAAACATTTCCAGCAACTGGGAGAGTTTTTTGTTGAGTTGTTCACCACTGTTTTAAATAATATATTTCCTATGAATGGAACCATCCTGTTAAAAATAAAAACAAAAGCACATTCAAATTCTGTTAAAAGCTATAAAATTAAGTTTGATGGTGACAAGAACTGATAATTTACCCTGGTAATAGTCATCACTATAATTATGTACAGTTTTCCATCCAAAATTACATATTACTTGAGTTTTGAAAAAGAACTCAAGCAATGGTGAAACTTTTATACACAAAATCTTACTCTATTTAATGGCATGCTCATGCCCTTAGTGCAATTAAATTTTTTTAATATATATTTGGGAGTTCTACATGGTTTACTGTGAGGATTAGTTGTAATTGACTTCATTTAAAATTATTATCATCATTGTAAATCGTTTACTTATGCGCAAAAATCCAGTTTTTCTCTTGTCTTTCTGACTGATACCACTAAGTTAAAAATTTGAGAAACTTGACCCTTGATTACATATGTGGCAGTCAAATGGGTTCAGCTGTCGGTGGATTAAATGATATTGGTGACTTAGTAAGATCACACGAACAATAATATAAAATTTTGTAGAGACTGAATGCAAATGAGCAAGTACCAGTATATTCATTGAGTAAAGAATGAATTCTGAGGAAAATTTGTCATGCCATTCCCGCTTTACAATTAGTGTAACTCTGTCAAGGCCCAAGCTGATGTTGGGTAGTACATAAACTAAGGTCAATTGCCAGGGAAGAGCCTGGGGTGGTGGCCTCTGAGGGCCAGTCAGATTTCAATCACTTGTGGCCAGAATTAGCTTCAGGGGGCCGAATTTAAATCCCTCTCTGGTTCACTACATTTTTTAACCTTTTTGTTACATTTGGTGCCATGCTATGGCCAAGAAGTGACAAGTGAGAGGCTGCCAGGGAAAACCCTGAGATGGTGTCTTTCAGGGGACTAAGACCTTTAAGGAGGGAGGAATGGAGCAGTCAGATGAGTTCAATCAATAGTAGCCAGTCAGCTCAGTTGGTAGAGCACCTGACTGGAGATTCAGGGGGCCCAGGTTCGAATCCTGGTCTGGTCCGCTGCATTTTTTGCCTCTCCCTTTACACTTACAATGCTTTGGTTGTGTAACTATAGATAGTTTTCGATTGACCAAGAGTTACTTCCCGTTGGCCGCCATACTGGAGGTCCAAATGCTCATATTCCTTCATTGTTCAACCAATTAAAAATTTTTATATTTGCTATTTTGAATAAGTAATCATTATTTTTCTGAAGTATATAAATTTTTGGAAGCCTCCTTTATTTAAAAAAAATTATTTGATAAAGATTTTCCACCAAATATTTCTGTTATATTTTCTTAAACTTGGTAAGACAAAGAGGGAAAATCACTGAGTCGACCTCCAATATGGCGGCCAACGGGAGGTAACTTTCGCTAAATTCAGGCCTATCGAAAACTATCTATTGATTTCACCTTGATTGGATTTCGTTATAATTTTACTTCGTATTCTTTCTAAATTCTTCCCAACAAATGATCTATATTTAGACAGAAATTCCTAAGTAATTCAGATTTCAGCCATTAAAAATCCTACCCTCTCTGTACAACAGGGGGCTAATAAATTAGGAGGCACAAAATACTATTTCGAATTTCCTCAAATGTTTGCTTTAACTGCCAATCTGCATACAATATACCTCGCTGATTATTTGGGTTTAAAATATAAATCAATACTAACCTTAACGAATATTAAGCTAAATTAATTAAATGGTCGAAAACGTCACAGATCCATTACAAAATCAGATATTATGCAAGCCGCTTGCCCAGCACATAAGGTTGTTAAACCGGAAATAAACCAAATGAAACTAAACGCCAAAATCCACAAATTTAAAAATGCTAATTTTGGTAAAAAGAAAAAAAAGGGCCTCGGTTAAGATAAAAGGAAGACTATTTTAAACATTTTATACACATTTTCCACCAAATAAATTTCTTTTAAAACTTTCAAAAATTTTTGTGTATATTTGCTGATTGATATTAAAGGATATCCGGATACATTTCATTCAAGATGGCAGCCCCCATATGCCACCTCTGACATCGGTGAAATCTCCAGATTTTATGGACGTTGTTCTTTTTTGTTTTATTTAGAACCTAAAGCTAAAGAGATACAATGGGTATTCTGGAGAAAATAGCTGAAATTGAGAGGGAAATTTCCCGAACTCAGAAAAATAAAGGTTTGTCACTTTGTGTGAAATGTCAGCATGCATAATTTGATAATATTTGATGTTTTGAAGCATTTCAAGTGAATTTCTTGAGCCAAAAGGTTGTTTTTATCAAACGTTTTAAAAAAATATCAGCCATAATTTAAATGTGCCTTAATTTTCTCTGCTTTTCATAATTAAAGCAGAAACTCATTCTAAAATAGCGGAACGACTTTACTTTACCGGTCCCCAGAAAAACGCGCTAAAATGTAGTGTCGCCGAAGGCGACTTCAGTATATATGAGATCGCGTGAGCGATCGAAAAAAAATTTAAATACGAGGTTTTTTGGCCTTTTGACCCCAAAACTGAATTCTACGGTTAAAAGTTTAGTTTAAAACTTTGTTTTTAATCAAAGATTTTAACCTAGTTCTCTGAAAAAAAATTAATAAATAGTTGTTTATTCATGGAAAAAATCGACAAAGAATAATTCTGAACGAAGAGCGTGCGGCGCATGCTTAATGTCATTTCTTTCGGACTTAGCCAATCTTCCATGTAAACAAACGAAGGAAATGCCTATGAATCTGAATTATGATCTTGGAAAAATTACAGAAACAACTGAATTTCTTAACTTAACTAAAAGAACTATTCACTAACCCTAATCCATCGTATGGTATGCAAGGACTAAGACGTTCAGACGAAATCTCCCGGGCAGATGCTAAACTAACCCTAATCAGTCGAATAATGTGCGAGGACTAACCCTAATTTCTCGGATGGACGCGAGACTAACCCTAATCAGTCGAATACTAGTGCAAGGACTAACCCTAATCTCTCAGGTGGGTGCAAGACTAACCCTAATCAGTCGAATAGTGTGCAGATTTAATCCATTTCAGTTGAGTGACGTAGTTGTTACGTCATAGTCCAATGAGCGCGAGGATCTTGCGGATCTGGGGACCGGTAAAGTAAAGTCTACCCAAAATAGCTAAATAAAGCTATATTATATAGGTAAATAAAGATGTATAGGTAAATTAAGCTATATAGCTAAATATAGTGATTTTCCTGGACCTGAAATAAGCTTTCCTTAAAATTAGTCTGTCATTAATGGAAAGAAAAAAAATATTACCTTTACTGTTGGAATCTACCTCCACAGCCCCCTCCTTTCCTGGGAAAAAATATCTTTATATTAGGGTCGTCTTGAAAATAATCACTCTGTACTAACTTCGGAGTGGGTACATGAAAATAAGTAATCTGAAAGAATAGCTAAAATTTGCCAGCAAAAATGGTCAATGACATAAATAATATGTTGACGGTGGGACCATAATGCAAGAGCAGATATTTCTTTTGTTGTAATTTAGATCGGGTTCATCAAACCGCACGTGCCATTTGATGCATTTAGACGCTGATGTCATATGACGTCGTATGTAAGTTACATTACAAAAAAGAAGCCTGAACAATGCTGAAAAATAAATGAAAAACGTTTCATTTACAATTTCTCTTCAATATTTATCCATTAACTCAGGGCGTGCTAACTTTTAGTTAAACTTTTGCAGCTGTTCTCGTGAGAACGTAGCTTTTAACAAGTGATGCATTGTGGGTCCAGAGAACTGAGGAAAAAAATTCTGATGAATGAATGTGCATTAGTCCGAATTTTCTCTTCGCCCAGGCGTTGCTTTAAGAGCTCCCAGTGAAGAGTGACTCTTGCTGCGCTCACTATAAACAATAATAAACCGAAAATACTTCTGCATGCAAAAATAAGGAAAACATTTGCAAGTAAGGTCATCTTTAAATTAATGTTTGTTTGCCCTCTCCTGACTCAGGATTAAACTATTGGGGTGGTAGGTAGTTGGGAAAATCTTTATTCCAGAAAATGTCAACATTTTTGCTGATGGGATACAAGGAATAGAAAGAAAAGAAATAGTGTCTCCTGGAATGTAAAAAGAAAAAAATTAAAGATGACCTAATCTTTTAATAATTGTTTGAACATGGTCGTGTATATATTAAAAACACTGATTCCAGAAATTATGTTCTTTACAGTTAATTTTATCTATTTCACATCAAAAAGCAGATCACTGCAAAAAAGTTCCATGGAATTAGACCTCTTATTGAGCAGTGTGTAGGACTTCCTAATCTTGATTTTCAAAAAATATAAGAGAAATAAACCAGTCTTCATTCACTTTGTCCTTTGAGCTCAAAAAATAAGTGTTTATGATTATTTATTTATATTTTTTTCTTTAGCTACTGAGTTGGTGATTAAAATATTTATTTTGTTTTAGCTACTGAGTACCATCTCGGATTGCTGAAAGCAAAACTTGCCAAGTACAGACAACAGTTGTTGGAACCAGGGGGAAAATCAGCATCCAAGGTTTTTAAAGTCATTTCATGTGAAAAGAAATTTCTTCTGTTGCGCATTTATTTCATTATGTTCATGGTATCAATACACAGAGAAAAGTCAAAGTTTTTTATAATACTGAATTCCATGATATAAAAATATGGAACTTCTAGGAACATGATTTACATTTGTCAATAACATTATAATATTGACTGCCTGAAAATAAATTTTATCAAACCAATTTTTGATGACATTAAATGGATAATGTTGTTTTGATTCTAGGGAGAGGGTTTTGATGTGATGAAATCTGGAGATGCCAGGGTAGCTCTTATAGGATTCCCATCAGTAGGCAAGGTGTGGATGTTTAATTAATGTACATAAATTACATGTAGTTACATATTAATTTAGGTTTTCAACAAAAAAAGAAAACCTGATACACTGTACTGAGTTTTATATGAGTGCTGACTGTTTTAGAATATCAAAACATGTAGGCAGAATACTGTACAGTGAATTATAGTTACAGTTGTTTTCGAGTAAGAAGCAAAATAACTTTTATAAGAGTTTCTTGACATTATTGAAAAGATCGAGTTCTAATTATTAAGCTATTTGGAGGTCTGTTATACATCTTATGATCTGTCTTGTTCTAAATATTTAATCTATAAACTAGTCAATGCCAGTCTATTAATCATATAGTCCTCTGTAAAGTTCTTTACTAATAACCTTACATATATTCATGTAAATGTATAAATAAGTTATTAACAGTAGACTATTTTGAGGTATGCGTATTATTGCTAATAACTTTTTTTGAATATGTATATATGACAGTCCACATTACTGAGTACCCTGACAAAAACCAAAAGTGAATGTGCTGCATATGAGTTCACAACCTTGACCTGTATTCCTGGTGTTATTGAGGTGAGTCTACACTTTGATATGTGCATCTTGGTGTTATTATGGTGAATGCATATTTTATTTTATTTTTTCCTAAAATGTGAGCTTATTTCATTGATCTGCATTCCTAATTTATTGGTATAAATTTACAGAGCTCTATAAATCACCAAACTAAGTATGGCCACAGACAATCCTTAAACTTGCTGAAATTGTCAGATTTCTTTTGATTAAGGTACATTGATACTCTGATAAAAAGGATGACATAAATGTCTATTATTCCTTTATAAATTTGCCAAGTTGAAGTGTCTTTTTTGTCCAATTTTGTCCCGCAAGCTAAGTTATAATTGATTGTATTTTACTTATAAAATACGTTTTTTTTGGAAAATTATAAAGGTTCAAGCAACATTTCATATGAGTGAGCAGAGGGTTAATGAACCTTAACACTGTTAAAATATCTGTACAATGTGTCTACCAGTATGAGTACATGTCATTTTTTAAAAAAAAAAAGTTGCTTCAGGTGAAGAGCTATCTGCAGATTTGTAGCATTATGGTGTTATATATTTGTCTTTGACCATAGTGCTACAGATCCCATAATGCAAAAAAGTGCAATTTATGGAGCAATATTTTTTGCGCACTTTTGGGGAGAATTTTTCCACTTTCTAGCATTGATCAATCAACTACCTAATTTTAGGCACATTATTTATCTAATTTGTATATTTTATTCATCTCCCATACCTTTATAGTGGTCTCTACAAGTGATAAACTCGCTTGATTGAAATTATTTGTTACTTTTTTGAAAATTCACTTCAAGCAAGTTTATTACCTGTAGAGACAACTATAAATGGTTGGGAGGTGGATAAATTATACAGATTAGTTAAATAATGTGACTAGAATTAGGGAGTGAAATGTAGTTAATTGACCGATGATGGACAGTGGAGAAATTCTCCCCCAAAAGTACGCAAAAAATATTGCGCCGCAAATTGCACCTTTTTTGCATTACGGGATCTGTAGCATTATGGTCAAAGACAAATACTGTAGATCACTAAATTTTCGCGACACCTTATTTTCGCGAGATAGTCATTGACTCTTGATAAGCGAGACAAAATTTTCACGAATTATGGTTCTTGCTCTATATTATCCTAAGGAATACTATTATATGCGAGAATTAAATTTTCGCGAGCACACTGTCTCGCGTAATTATGCGAATAAAAAGTGATTTACAGTATATACAACCATAACGCTACAGATCTGCAGCTAGTGAAGAGCCAGTAATTCTTTTTTTTCAGCATAATGGTGCCAAAATTCAACTTCTTGATTTACCAGGAATCATAGAGGGAGCTGCTCAAGGTGAAGTAAAAGTGGAAGTAAAACTCGGTTAAAACAAAGTCACTGGGACCTATGAAATTTAATCACTACATCCGTAATTTGTTGTTATATATCCGTATAAGGAATACATTAAATTTATTTAGCTGGGGGTCCAAGGTAACTCTGCCATATCCTTGTTCGTACTAAACATGTTTTACTGTATCTACATGCATTTAAATAAATTACTTGAAGAATTAACTGCTAGCTTGAAAGCAGGAAACATTCTTCTGAAGCTGGATCTGATTCATTTGAGAAATGAGTTTAAAGATAATTATTAAGGAATGTTCAGTCTTTGACTACTCAAAAGAGATAATATCTTCAACATCCAGTTTACATCCAGTAATTTTCTGTAAAAGAGAAAGATTTTCATGAAAAATTATTTTCCTAATGTAAGTTTTTTTTTGACTTTCAGGAAAGGGAAGAGGTCGGCAGGTCATAGCCGTGGCAAGGACAGCAGATGTAGTGGTCATGATGCTGGATGCTACAAAGAGTAAAATTCAAAAGTAAAAGCTGAAATTTATGTCAACTACTTCAAAACCCAAATAGCAAACTAGTACTATAGTCCCCCTAAATAATATATCAAGGAAAACAAGAATTTTTACTGATTATGATCTCTGCTTTGGAATGCATATACATGTACATGTACTTTGTTTTGATGGCCAGGTTATATGACATAAACTTCAAAGACACTATCAATCTTTTGCTTGGTGTTCCATAAATGTATACAAAGTTTGGATTTTATAACTTTAGGTCTGTGAGAAAGCCATTTGAAAAGTGACAAATTGGTACATAATAATTTAGATTTTGCAATTGGGGAACACATAAAGTTGGTGTTGATAAAAATGTTTTTGTTTGGCTGTACAAATGTATAATAAATATGTGTTGCATTGTGCACCTTTTCTCTGACTTTATTACATGTATTAGTTTTCATATACTACATGTAATCTATATAAACTTTTATTTCAGAGAATTGCTGACAGCAGAATTGGAGAGTGTTGGTATACGACTGAATAAAAGGAAACCTAACATTTATTTAAAAGTAAGATATGCATAATAATATCTATATGTCAATGTAAAATATTGTTTTTGGTTGATTTGTTATTGAAGTAGAAATACTATACATAAAGTAGCCATAACTAGACAAATGCCCCTTGTTTTCTTTCAGCAAAAGAAAGGAGGAGGCATATCCTTTAACTCCACGCTACCCCTGACAAAGGTTAATGAAAAATTGGTACAGATGATCCTTCATGAATGGAGTATCCTTGGAGAAACAATAAATTAACATTGGAACTCGCAAAATTCACACATATTTATAAACTGGGCACCCTTCATACATGCCAACTTTCCCGATTTAGGCGGGATTCTCCCGATTTTTCCCTTTCATCCCGCCTTCCCGATCGGGAGAGAAAAATTGCCCCAATTTCCCGATTTGAACAAATTCAGATTTTCAGTTTCCCTACCGCCGAATTTTGTCAATCGGGATAAGAATATCAGAGTTGTTTATTCAATACACACAGATAAGTCTCATTGTTTATTTAGCATGCAGAGTTTATTAGCCACAGGAAATCACTTCTCGCTTCAACGCACACGTTGCTGTCCAGGTACAGGTAGCTTATAGCCTGGAGCAGTTAGGAGATTAATCTTTTCAGTTTGAAGGGGTATGCGAAGTGAAACACATAGATTAAGGGCTTAATTATTAGTCATTGTATTAAAAACAAAAATTAAAGTCAATAAAATGATAAACAATAAAAATGGAATCCAAAAAGATCGTTTTTTGAAAACGAAAGTAGAAAATTTCAAAGCATATATAGCTGCTGATTTTAACTGCTAATAATAAAAACATTGTATAGTTCGTCAATTTAAAAATTATTGAAAATAATTTAGATTAAATAATACTCTCATGTATGTTAAGTGCACTGAATCCCTTTTCTCCCATAGATCATACTAGCTCATATTGTACATTGTGTTTCTTTGTTACATATATATCAAGGAAATACCAGAGACCCATATGGCATTGCCAAGACTGCAAAAGTTCATCATGTTCATGATGTAGTCTTTTACAATTTTAATTTCTCTTTGGAATGGGTGGGGGTGGGGCTTGTGTTAAAAAAATCAGGATTTAATTAGGCCTATTTCTCCAAATTGTTTCGTGTGTGAGATAAAATTAATGATGCACTCTATATACTTACTTATAGGGAATAAAGTAACACTTGATTTTAAGGGTACATACCAGAAACAAAATGTAAATTAATAGAACTGAGTGACAACTATTGAGCAAAGATATTTAGATTTGGAAAAATAAAACTTTAATTCGTTTTGTTTTGTATTCATAAGTGCCATCAATATTATAATTAAAAAAAAATTTAAAGTATTTCATAATCATTTATTTTCAAAATCGCAAAATGTCGCGAATTTAAAGCTTTGAAAATTGTCGTCACGCGCTAAATCCCCCATGGGAATTTTTAAAAGTTGGCATGTATGACCCTTATGAATGCTTCTTAATCAAAAAGTTTTGCTGAAGCATGTACTTATGGTAGATAACAAACTATTTATATTAAGGGATATATGAGAAGCAAATTGCCTGTGAACTGAGATCATCGCATATTTATATTCCAAACACTGTACTTTTATGTCATCATGATTTAAACTTCATAAGCACAACACTTCAGAAAATCCCTAAATATAGCTTTTACTAGTGGTGTTGTTTGGTCCTTAACCTGACACAGAGATCTTTAATGCTGAGGTTTTATTCCGAGAAGACTGTACATCTGACGAGTTTGTTGACGTTATACTTGGAAACCGAGTCTACATGCCCTGTTTATATGTGAGTATGGAAGGAAGAGATGGTATACACATGATTTATTCAGTCATAAGCTAAAACCTCAAAGTAGTAGTAACCTTCTTTTACAAGTCAACGGACTCTGGTAATGTTGACAGAACAATGTATTTAGTTTCTACTGGATTAAGTTCTATGGTACTTCTACCCTAAAATTTTCCATGGGGTGTGCTGAATTTTCCATTTTATATAAAGAACAATATAAACATGGATTTTTAAAGAATATTGTATATACATGGACACATTCAATGTACCAGGGTATTTACAAGCCACTTGGTGTTTTCTTTTTCTAGGTCTATAACAAAATTGACCAAATCTCAATAGAAGAAGTGGACAGGCTCGCAAGAGAACCGAGTTCTGTGGTGGTCAGGTAACTTTGATTGTGATTGATTTCAGTTGTAATATAATTTATTTTACTGATTTTAGTTGTATCATGTGACTGATTTCATGTGTAATATTTTACTGATTTCAGATGTCACATGTGATTGATTTCAGTTGTATCATGCATGTGACTGCTTTCAGTTTACGTGACCAATTTTAATTGTAATATGACTTATGAGACTTGTGACTGGTTTTATTAGAAAGATGATGTGACTGATTTCAGTTGTTTGTAACATGCGGTTGCTTTCAGTTTATGTGACTGATTTTAGTTGTTACATTTGTATATGACTTAAGAGACTTGTGACTGGTTTTATTAGTTGTAAATGATGTAATTGATTTCAGTTGTGTCATGTAACTGATTTCAGTTGTAACATGTGACTGATTTTATTTATACAATGTGACTGATTTCAGTTGTAACATGCGGTTGAACTTGGACTACCTGGTGGAGATGATCTGGGAATACCTGGCTCTGGTCCGTGTCTACACAAAGAAAAGAGGAGGTAACTCTGCATATAGCACTCCTGTTGTAGAGTACAGAAAATCTAAACATGATAGGTTTTTTAAATAATATTAAATTGAAATAATTTAAGATGAACTTATTGGTTGAAATTTTTATAAATTTAGAAATGACAGCTCTTTATTTTGAAATATACTTACCATAATTAATTCAATAAATAAATTAATAATAATTTTTTTTATTTCATTGGACCTGATAATTTGTTCTTATAATAACAGAGAGGCCTGATTTTGATGGAGGGTTGATTTTAAGGAAAGGGTGTACAGCAGAGCATGTGGTGAGTAATGGAGATTCTGTTAAAACAAAACTGTCTTCAGTCACTGCACTGAAGAGAGATTTTAAAATACATAGATTTACAAAAACTATAATACTGATCTTTCCTCTTTTTTTTAGTGTCATGCTATTCATAGAACTATAGTGGACGCATTCAAATATGGATTAGTTTGGGTAAGGTCATTAGACATTTCTACTGATAAAAGTAACAAGTCATTTGGTTATATATATATACATGTACATTTAAAAGATACATCTTTGTAAATTATTTGACAAATTTAAGGTTTTAATATTAGAATTCAGAATTTGTTCTATTTTTACAGGGTACTAGTGTAAAGTATAGTCCCCAAAGGATCGGACTTCAGCACTTGATGAATCATGATGACGTCATACAAATCATCAAAAAATAATCTTTGTACAATAGGCAGAAAATATACGATATCATTTGGATAGACATTGTGATGCAATTTCTAAAAGTTTGTGCAATCGTGCATGTTATTTAAATTGTTTTTGAAATAAAAATACATCAAAGCAATTTTTTTAGGCTTAATTGTACATTTTTAGTTTACCTGATATTTACATGGATGATGCATCTAAGGATTTCCACTGCTGGACTTGCTATTGACAGATGTATACAGCCAATTGTGCCTAACATTAATTTTAATGTTAATCTCAATTACCTGGTAATATTAAATTAACATTAGCTTAATGTTAGTTTAATGTTACTTTCACAATTGGCTGTGTATCTGACATACTTGAACATATTGAAGTTCTTGAAGCAAGTCAATTTTCAAGTAACTTTGATAGTCCTATGGTTATTGAACTTGCATGGATGATCGATGCATCGTGGGGTTCACACTAAGAATTTTGGTTGCTTGATCTGAAATATTTCCAGATTAAAGTTAAACTTTTTGGAGCAGTCCATTTCCAAAGTTCATATGTAAATATAACAGTATAAGCCTACCTGGATGAATTTGCTTGAATTAATTATCAACAATAAAACTTACATAAACCCATAATAATTTGTTGCATATCAATGAGGATCATGCATTGTGACTCTAAGAACATGTGTGAAACTGTCCATCCTCGAAATATCAGGAGTCAACTCAATTGTTACCTTTGGACCCTCTGACAAATTTTATATTATTCATTAACTTGTGGGTTGATCTCAGCATAGTTTTAGGAGAAGATTACATTATCTTCATGAATTGTTTTTGAATGAGAGAAGCATGACAAGCCTGTAAAATAGAGAATGAAGTTTGTCAGGGGTACTACAGCTAAGAGTTACAGAAGACAGGACCCCTATAGTCTTTGCAAGGACAGATCATCAGCCATCTTACTTATACTAGTTTAAACTACATAATTTTTATAAACTATATTTTGAATTTTTAATGAAAGCAATAGAAATCTGGTAAAGTACAGCTGCATTGGGGTCACTGTCGTGGTGAGTGAATTACGCTTACAAATGAAGAACAGTCACAGTAAAGGTTGATAGATAAAGGAACAATGTGATGATATTTAAGTTATATAATAGATAAATAAAGTAAATTCAACTATTGTAATCTTTTTTTTTTTTTGTTTTGCTTTGCCATATACTTGTACATATTTAAAAATGGGACAAATTTAACATACAAGATCTTTTTTTATTATTATTATTTAAATCAATAACAATACAATGAATTAAAAAAATATATTCTCCATAAAATATCTTATTTTCTTTTCAGAGTATTTTAATATACAATGACCAAATGATGAATTATATTACAATCAGATTCACTTGTGCACTGAAGTATCTATTAGGGTAAATAGTCATCCCTCAAATGGAACTCTTTTGTATGAGAAGGTTTATTTACACATTGTGGAAAAAAATAGCAGACGGGTGGCTCAAGTCAAACTTGAAGTATGAATACAGATCCATTGGCAGTTGTCCTCATCACTTCAGGAACTCGTGGCGACAGACTACTTTTCCGGTACCCAAACGCTGAACCAATCAACCGTGGCGTGTTATCAAAAAGTAATAACCTTGTATTGAAAAATAATGCAAATTTCTCAACTCAAGTCATGCTCAATAATTAAGTGAATGGGCTCTAAAAGGCATTTTTATCTTATATTTTTTGTGCCTCTCGACAAATATTAATGATAGTAATGAAAAATATAAAATATGCTTTCTTAGAAGGTTAATTGTCCAGGAAAATCACTATATTTAGCTTTTAAACACTTTTTTTACCCCAAAATGCATCTCTAATGTTTGGACTTTGGATAGCTGAAAGTGCGATGAGGCATGACTAAGTGTGATTGCCTTGCGCTCAATTATTACCAATCAATTATCTTGTTGACCAAAACTGCTTTTCTTTGTTAAAGTAGCTGCTTACTCACAGATTAACTGTTATACAAAGCTCCAAAACTTTTAGATCTTTGATTGCAATTGCACAAAAGGAGAAACATTTTTATAAGTGGGTTTTTGGTGAATTGTTTTCAGTCCATTTCAAAGTTGAAAACTAATATTGCCTCATTATGCGACTTTTTGTCTGCTTTTCATAAAACAGAAATTTACTCTGAAATAGCTAAATAAAGCTATATTATATAGGTAAATAAAGTTATATTGGTAGATTTAGCTATGTAGCTAAATATAGTGATTTTCCTGGACCTGTGAGTTATAATTGCCTTATAATTATGGGTACATCAGTAGCTGGTAATGCAGCTTATTCATAATGATTAAATTTGTTTTCTTTCAGCTAAAGGAAGCAATCCATATGCAATAAAAATAACAGAGGACATATTATCAAACAAGTACGTATATATGCATGATGTAGCAAAGATTAATGAATTATAAAACATGCTAATTAATATTATTAGCTCACCTGAGCCGAAGGCTCAAGTAAGCTTTTCTGATCAAAATTTGTCCGTTGTCTGTCATCGTTGTTGTCGTTGTTGTTGTTGTCGTCGTCGTTAACTTTTCACATTTTCGTCTTCTTCTCAGGAACCACTGGGCCAATTTCAACCAAACTTGCTACAAAGTATCCTTATGTAAAGGAGATTCAAGTTTGTTCAAATGAAGGGCCATGCCCTTTTCCAAGGGGAGATAATTATGAATTAGAGAAAAATTAATGGCATTTTTAAAAAATCTTCTTCTCAAGAACCACTGGGCCCGGAAACATGAAACTCATGTGGAATCATCCTCAGGTAGTGCAGATTCAAATTTGTTCAAATCATGACCCCTGGAGCTAGGGTGGGGCCAAAATGGCTGACCCAAGTTTTACATACTGATAGGAATATATAGGAAAAATCTTTAAAAATCTTCTTTTCAAGAACCACTGGGCCAGGAAAGATGAATCTCATGTGGAATCATCCTCAGGTAGTGCAGAATCAAGTTTGTTCAAATCATGACCCCTGGGGCTAGGGTGGGGCCAAAATGGCCGATCAAAGTTTTACATAGGAATATACAGGAAAAATCTTTAAAGATCTTCTCAAGAACCACTGGGCCAGGAAAGATGAAACTCTTTTGGAATCATCCTCAGGCAGTGTAGATTCACGTTTGTTCAAATCATGACCCCCCGGGACTAGGGTGGGTCCAAAATGGCCGACCCAAGTTTTACATAGGGATATATAGGGAAACCTTTTAAAATCTTCTTTTCAAGTACTTCAAAGCCATGATTAGTGATATCTTATATGGAATCATCCTCAGGTAGTGTAGATTCTAGTTTGTTCGAATCAAGAATCCCTGGGGGGGTTAAAATTCAAGCCCCCCCAGTTAACTTTTAGTTCTGATCTGATATTAGCTGCAATAATGTAGCCCTCTCCGATTTTTTTTATCTGATGTTTTCTGGAGAGGGCTACAATTTCACAGCATCTCTGTAATGGTGCAAAAATATTTTTAAGATACGGGCTACGGCAGGCAGAAAAAATAGTTTTTACATTCAACTTACATCTAATGAGACGAGATTTTTATTCACTGTCGACAACATAACCCGTTAAACGCGAAAAACATGTAAAATAAATCTTCGCCAAGTTCGTGTTTATCTTCAACAGCCATGACAGTTCACGCGTGACGTACCGAGACTTGCGCTTGAAATTTAGAATAACTAAATAAAGCAGGTTTCGGTGTTTATAAGTAATTGTGATGAATAGTATCACTAAACATCGATAAATAAAACCACTTCATGTGTTATTTTTCCGTAAACAGCGATATTTAGGCTTAAAATAAGGTAATTCCAAAGAAATCCGCTCCCTATAGATCCTTAATCTTATTGGCTGTCCCAGAATAAAATCTGTCAAGGTCAGTAAACATGGCGGATAAATTTAAGTTGTGATGTTGACATACACGAAAAATAATTGATATATGGATTGTTCTGTATATTTTTGGATTGATTTATGTCTTGGATAACTGCATTTTTGGAGTCAAGGTAAGAAATGTTAATAAAATAGCCATTTACTAACAATTTGAGCCGAAATCCGTGCGGGAGCGAATCACTTCCACAGCTGCACCATTACGGAGATCCTAAGGAGTTGTAGCCCTCTCCCCCCCCCCCCCCCCCAAAAAAAAAAAAAAGAGGGAGAGGGCTACATTATTGCAGCTAATCTGATATGTGCTTATTCCTAGCCGATGTGCTCAGGTGAACGCTGTGGCCCCTGGGCCTCTTGTTATAAAACTTGTGGTGAAACTTTTCATTTTTAGCATACTAAGGTACTTTTTTGATGAACGGGTGAAAAGCATAAAACCCATGAAATGTTTTCCCAAACTAGTGAAGTAATGGTTTAAGGATTGATTTCTCTCTTTCTCATTATCATGCTCTGGCAATATCTGGTCATGGAAAATCTAGATTAATTCCATTGGGTTAATAAAGGCTGGATTGGATATTAGACTGGGGATAACAGAATGGAAGAGCACTTGACAGGTGATGCAGGAGTTTAGGAATTGATTCACAGTCCAGCCATACATTTTTTTCACCTTTCTGTAACAGATTTCATGTCATTGACCACCTCTGGACTTACAGGTTAAAGTCTTGCCTGGGGAGCTGTAATATTACTTGGGTTGTGTCTTCAAGGGTGAAGACATTTTAAAGAGAAGGTGGAATTTAATTATTTGCACTGCATAGAAATTGGCCTAGGTAGCTTAATCAGTAGAGTACTTGACAAGAAATGTAGGGGTCCTGGGTTTCAACTCCCGTTCAAGTCATACATTTCTCCTTTGCTGTTACATTTGTATTTAATTCAATCTGAAGAATCCTATCATAATGATGATTCATTACATGGAGGTAAATCATACAATGAATTAAGGTCATCAAAGGTTCAGACCACAAGGCATAGAGATAAATATAGCAAAATATTTTTGGACTACATCTCTTTAATTTGGGATTGAAATGGACCAAAACTTTCATATTTTGTTCCTTGTAAAATTAAAATGTGGTACCATCATTATTCAAAGTACTATTTAAAATTGAGACTTTTCTGGCTGGAAATAAGATGTTAAATTTTATCTTAAATCATGAACCCTTGATTGAATTCAAACTTTAATTGTGTGATGCATTTGAATTAACAAATAAACTACCTTTTTCAGAGAACCTGTAACCTCTTGTATCAGAGACAATACCTTAGTAGGGTGAGTGGTTGTTTATTTAGTAGTACACATATTTGAATGTATTTTTTCCAGTCATTACATATCAGCTACTAGTATTTTAAAAAGGTTTGAATTTGTAACAAGCAGAGAATTTTTACACATCTTGTATTTATCATAAAAGTTGTTTTCATTGATTAACATAAACATTTGTTTCCATAGAAAATTATTTTTCTATGAAAAGATATAATATAGTTTCATTGTAGCATGTTTCTTTATGACTAATTAGATAAATACCATTACTTCATTTGAGATGAAAAATCCTGTCATAACTCAAATTTTCTGCCTTGTTAGTATTGTTGATACAGTTGTATATTTTTTTAATGACTGCAGGTTTTCGGATTCTATTTTGGCAAACTTGTTGGCTGCCAAGCAAGACCTGTGCAGAAAGCCTTTCGACCTTAAGATAAATGACGTCAGATTTGTTGGATTCCCCATGTCTCTGGATATGGGGAAATCAAAGCCAGGAGCCCACCAGATTATCTCATTTAATATCATTTTTGTGCTGAGGGTTTGTAGAAATTCTTGACTTGCATTACAAATATCAAACACACAAAATTATCCTCCAAGATAATTATAAACATGTAAATGTTTAAATGATAATTTTTCTATAAAGATCTCTCCGTCAAAAGTGAAAACAATCAGTTAAAAAAAAAAAGATGTGTTTGTGAAACACTGATGCCCCTGTAGGCAACATAGCAAAGATTCAACTTTTGTTAAATGCAAATTTAATTAATTGGTACCAAAAGTAGGGTATTCTCACTGGAAAAACAATTGTGAAATTTGAAAGTAGGCCAATGTTAAAGTTTTTTTCAATAAGTACAAAAAATTCCAAGGTCAAGGTCAAGAGGTCAAGGTAATTGGTATCCAATGAAAGGTCTTGCCACATAGAATACTTATGTAGATTATGGATTAGCCCTAACCCTAAGTGTTCAAAAGTTATGGCCAAGGTTAATTTTTTTCAAAAGTAGGCCAAGGTCAGGTCTAAGGGTCAAAGTTCTTGTTATCAAATGAAAGGTCTTGTCACAAGGATTACCGGTAAATATATAAAGTATGAAAGCACTAGCCCTAACCCTTTAAAAGTTATGGATCAAGGTTTGCCTTTTAAAAGTATGTCAAACTCAAATGTCAAAGGGTCAAAGTTATTGGTATCCAATGAAGGATCTTCTGACAAGGATTACATATATGAAGTACGAAAGCCCTAGCCATTACCATTCCCAAGTTATGGCCAAGGTTAAAGTTTTTTTCACAAGTATGGAAATCTACAAGGTCAAGGTTGTTGGTATCCAATGAAAAGTCTTTCAACAAAGAATACATATGTGAAGTATAAATGTCCTGGTATTTACTGTTCAAAAGATATGACCAAAGTAAAAGGAATTTTGTATAAAAGTGGGTCAAACTCCAAGGTCAAGGTCAAAAGGTCAAATTTGGTGGTACCCAAAGAAAGGTCTTGTCACAAGGAATATACATGTGAAATAAGAAAATCTTAGCTCCACTAAATCAAAAGTTATGGGCAAGGTTAAAGTTTTTGTGAACAAACAGACAGACAGAGAGACAGGCAGACAGACAGATGGACATGACAAAAAATATATACCCCCGAAACTTCGTTTACAGGGGCATAATTACAGATGGTAAATTTTATGTTTCTCTATTGTCTGTAAGTAAAGTAGGGTGTTGAAACTTCCAGGCCTATGTGACGTCCTCGGTGATCCAGTGTTACACTGACCTAGTCAAGCAGATCACAGTAGCCATTCATCATGAGGAGGGACGATGCCAGTATCTGTCCTCTCAAGCAAAAATCATGCTGTCCGTCCATGATGAGGTGGCAGCCATGCCAGAAGGTAAACAACAAACATTGGGTATTTACTATTTAGAGAAGGACTGCATTTAATTTTTATGCACCAGACGACTGTAACTACTGGTACCTACATGTCTTCAATTAGACTGGTACAAAGTTGACTTCCGAGATAAGGAAAAAAGTTAATGTGTATATTTTTAAAATTATTTCATTACACTTCTTTTTTATTTCAGAATCATTCATAATTAATTTTCATTTCATTTTCCAAAATTTAATTGGTCTGTTGATGTTACATATGTTTATCGTAAGTTTTTGATTCATGTTGAATGCATTTTTACCACAATTTTTAAGTTAAATTGAATTCATTGTGTATATTGTTCATTGTTATTCTTTAACCTTGGCCATAACTTTTGAACAATAAGAGATTTATGAAAGACAGAATTCATATTTGGTGCACCTCCTATTTTACTCCACACATATATAAAGTCCTTTCAAATGACATCAAGGTCAAAAACCTTGTGACCTTGACTGTGACCTATATGCTAAAAATAGATTTTTCCTCTGTTTGTCATAACTTTTTAACTATAGGAGATATGAACTTCATATTTAGTATACATACTCCACTAATGAAGTCCTTTCAAAACGATGACAAGGTCAATGATCTTGTGACCTTGACAGTGACCTATATGCTAAAAATAGCTTTTTATTTCAATATAACTTGGCACACTTTTTGCCATAACTTTTGAACCATAGGAGATAGGATCTTCATATTTGGGATTTCAATATAACTTGGCACACAAGTAGACTACACTAAGATACCACGGTTTTTGATTAAGTTCTTTCAAATTTTCTGACACCAGTTTTGGATTTCAATATAACTTGTGACCTTGACTGATTTTGACCTATATACTAAAAATAGCTTTTTACACTTTTTGCCAATATACTTGGCACACTTTTGAACCATACGGTTTTGCCATGGTTATAAAAATAGAATTTTCTGTGAAATTCTTTCATATTCTGGTCTGATTTCAATATAACTTGGCACACAAGTAGACTACACTAAGATACATGATTAAGTTCTTTCAAATGACACCATGGTTACTAAAAATAGAATTTTCTGTGAAATTCCTTGACTGTTCTAGTTTGATTTCAAAATATGGCACACAATGACTACACAAAGATACATAAAATAGTGCAATGGTTTTTGATAAGTACAAACCAGTAGAGCTACAGTCTCGACAGAGACTTCTGGTTTTTTTTACAAAATGTTTAATAACGACACAAATTTTAAACCATGAGAAGATTATAACCAATGATAATTAGCGGTACATTAAACAATTAACGTTTGGGATTGCTTACAAAACATTTTTATAGAGCAGTATGTAGTCAAAACATGGGTGTGAAAGGTGTGAATTAAGTTCTTTCAAGCGACCATGACAAACCACGGTCAATGACATATACCAGGTAAACCTTGACTGTGACCAATATGACATTAAAAATAGATTTTGTTGAATTCATATAGTAAATAATGCCGCCGGACGTCGACATATCCCAGGTTGTCGACATATCCGATGTCGAGATACCGAAGTTTACCTGTATTTAGAGAAGGACTGCATTTAATTTTTAGTTCTAAAAAAAAATTGTTGCTGGTCTGAAAAATGTTGTACATTTGTATTTATGTTTGAAATATAATTTTGAAATTGTCAAAGAATCTTGCTTCAATGTTTTTCATACGTTTTGTAAAATTTTTCAGTTTATAGATACCATTTGTCACAGAAGTACATTTGGTTATACATACCTTTGTGTATCTTTACTTATAACAATTAATCTTAGAATTTTGAATTTTCAGATTCTGCAGAGTCTCCATATGCCATGATTCTTCCAAGAAGTTCTTTAGCTAAATGCTTACAAACTATCTTTGAAGAGTTAGTATCTTATTTTTCTGTCACTTTATGTTAAATGAAAGTATCTGATTTTTCTATTACTTTATGTTAAATGAAAGATATCAGGAATTACTGTATTTTTAGCTCACCTGAAGGCTCAAGTGAGCTTTCCTGATCACATTTTGTCCACCGTCTGTGTAGCTGTCCGTCTGTAAATTTTTCACATTTTCGACTTCTTCTCAAGAATCACTTGACCAATTTCAACCAAACTTGCCACAAAGTATCCTTGGGTAAAGGGGATTCAAGTTTGTTCAAATGAAGGGCCATGCCCCATTCAAGAGGAGATGATTAAAAATTACTGAAAAATTAATGTCAATTTTCAAATATCTTCTTCTCAAGAACCACTGGGCCAGGAAAGATGAAACTTATGTGGAAACATCCTCAGGTTACGGTAGTGTAGATTCAAATTTGTTCAAATCATGACCCTCAAGAGTAGGGCGGGGCCACAATAGACGATCAAAGTTTTACGGAAGAATATATAGGAAAAATCTTTAAAAATCTTCTTCTTGAGAACAGGAAAGCCATGATTGTTCATATTTATATGGTAGCATCCTGAGGTAGTGTAGATTCAAGTTTGTACAAATCATGACCCCCGGGGTTAGGGCGGGGCCACAATGGACGATCAAAGTTTTACATAAAAATATATAGGGAAAATCTTAAAAAATCATCTTCTTGAGAAAAGCAAGACCATGATTGTTCATATTTATATGAAGGCATCCTCAGGTAGTGTAGATTCAAGTTTGTTCAAATCATGACCCCGGGGGTAGGGCTGGGCCACAATGGACGATCAAAGTATTACATAGGAATATATAGGAAAAATCTTTAAAAATCTTCTCCTCGAGACCAGCAAAGCCATGATTGTTCGTATTATATGGTAGCATCCTCAGATAGTGTAGATTCAAGTTTGTAAAAATCATGACCCCCCGGGGTTAGGGCGGAGCCACAAGGGACGATCAAAGTTTTACATAGGAATATATAGGAAAAATCTTTAAAAATCATCTTTTTGAGAACAGCAAAGCCATGATTGGTCATATTTATACAAGTTTTTTTCAAATCATGACCCCAGGGGGTAGGGCTGGGCAACAATGGATGATCAAAGTTTTACATAGGAATATATTGGAAAAATCTTTAAAAATCTTCTTCTTGAGAACAGCAAAGCGATGATTGTTCATATTTATATGGAAGCATCCTCAGGTAGTGTAGATTCAAGTTTGTTCAAATCATGACCCCCGGAGGTAGGGTGGGGCCACAATGGACGATCATAGTTTTGCATAGGAAAAATCTTCTTCTCAAGAACAACAAAGTCATGATTGGTCTTATTTATATGGAAGCATCCTCAGGTAGTTTAGATACAGATTTGTTAAAATCATGACACCCAGGGTTGGGTGGGACCACAATAAAAGTTCAAACTTATAGGGAAAAAAGCCACAGTTAGTCAAAAAAATATGTAAGCATCCTTAGTTAGTATAGATTCAAGTTTGCAAAGATACAAGTTTGTTCAAATCATACCCCCCTTTTAAGATCGGGACCACTTAGGCATTTACTGAATTGATTTTTTCCTAGCCGCAGTGCTCAGGTGAGTGATGTGGCCCATGGGCCTCTAGTGTGTACTTAAGCAATTTCCTTTAATTTAATAGAGGTTTTTTTTTTCTCATTTTCAGTTTAGGCAAAACTGGATTAGTTCACCTGTTTATCAACAAGTGGATTGAGATCTGGTTTTGTTCACCACATAAAATACACCAGATTCCAGATTCTTCCAGCACTATGAGGATAGAGGTACAAAACACATGTTATGTGACTAGTAAAGAGGTTGAAGCATTAGTTATTAATGCTTTGTTGAATGAAACATGATCCTTGCTTCATAAATTTATTTGGAAAATAAACATCATTATGAATTGAGCTTTAATTACAACATATTCATCAAAATTAGAACTATATCTGAGTTTTAGAAATTTAAAGATAATTGATGGTGTAAAATTATTTGAAAGTGAATCTTTGAGAGTGAATTTTTATTATGCTTGCAGCCAGAAATAATACAGAAATGCTTGGAATGTCTAAGGTAACAATGGATTTTCAGACATTTAATATATACATTTTTTTTTAAAACATTGGTTGCTTAGACTCATTATGTTGCATTATGCTTGTAGTGAAGTGATTTTCTTTCCCTTTGACTTAAAAATACACTGTGAATCTAACAGATATATCAGATTATGCATACAACAAATCAAAATTATTTGTACTTTGTTATCAGTATGTTTTACTGTATTGCTTATTTAATAATTATTATGTATTTCAAAGGTGAAATACAAGTATGTTTATTCATTTGATCTTTTCAAAACCTAGTTGATATGAATTATCTCAGATTTGTCCATTTACATTTCTCAAAATGCCTGTAAAGTTGTTGTTACAAAAAAAATAATCGTAAATAAAATGGCTAGGCCCAAAATGCATTTCAACTATTATTTTAACTCAAAGGGATAATTAAATGCAGTGATTTGTATTATATTTTACATATGGAGATGCCATCACTTCATGGAGACTGCAAATTTTGTCCTATGCTGGAGAAGCCGCATTACAGGGGGGGGGGGGGGGGGGAGTCTCTGACACGGGACCTCGGTTTAGTCCAGCCCTCACGTCCGACAGTTGATCACAGTGTGGTAAGGATCAACTCCTTACTACAGAGTCTACAGATGCTGTCCCAGGACTGCGCCGACCTGGCCTTGTAGCACAGGCAACTGCAAATCAAAACCGGGGCAAAAATATTTGTATGTACGTATACAAGATGAAACAATCCTCAACACTAAAAACGAGGTAAATTTTATTACACGTATTTTACTTTTACATGTATTTATTATTATCGTCATTATTACATGTGTTTGATTATTTTGCTTTTAAATCTCATGTAATTGCTATGTCTATGCTGACGAACAAATTGTAATTTGCGTTTTAAAAATAAATTTATATCACAGGTAAGTCTATACGACACTGTAAACAATTTACAAGTTTCATTTTTTATAACAAAAGTCGACTGTGTGTATTTATATAAGTGTGGAGTGTTTTACACTTTGCAATTTGACTAAGAAACAGAGTCTTAATAAAAAACTACAGACCCCCCCCCTCCCCCTTCTCAATTACTCTCCAGGAGGCCTGTTTATCGAATAAATAAAGTGATCAAATTTATGTGTTATGCTTGAAATCTTACTGAACATGAACATCTTAAATATACAGTACAGGAAATAAAATGTTATCATCGCGATGTGTGCTGCAAGCTATTTCTCACCACAGAATGTTTATAAAGTTTATTCTGATTTTCAGAATATGAATTTCACAATATTAGTGTAAATAAGGTACTCGTTATCGCAGTGTGGAGTCCCAATAAGTTGATTGAGTAAAATAACATTTTACATCTATGCGCCATAGTCGCATTGAAGTTTGAAAAATGGCGCATTAAATCAACATATGACATGGCGCCAAGGTGCGCATTCAATTTTTAGCGATGTTATTTGCAAAAAATCTTGCGTACGACATATAATTTTTTTTATATCAATAATTTTAATTTCACTTCATCTTGACATTTTGAAATGCAATCAATTTAAAACAACAAATCTCAAAATTGGTTAAAAAACTATATATTTCAATAGTAAAGCGTAAAAAAAGTACTGAAAACTATGCCTTGTTTACAGATATATATCATTAAAACTACGTAGGCAAATTTAATAAAAATTGCAGATAATACGCTTTAATGTCTAACAAACATTATATCAAATTTTGGTATGGTAGGGCTGTTCCCTTTCCTTAAAAATAACTGTCAGATATATCAGATTTTAACACAAAATATGACTTTGTTATCAGTTATATTCTAAGCAATTTAATAATTATTATGTATTTAAAAGGTGAAATACATGTTTTTCATGATCATTAAAAATTGATATGAATTATTCAGTTAATTAAAAACGTGTTTTCTCTCATAATTCATATTTGTTTGTCACTTTGTTATTTATTGAAATGGCCCTTCAGATTATATTGATGGCCCATTCATTTTCGAAATGGCCCATCAAAAATGTTGACAGTTGCACCATAGTCCCATTGACCATTTTGGCCTTCCCAGTCGCTGACAGAGTCACAGGTAAGTCATCATACCTATCTGTAGTGGACTGATCGCAGTGTGGAGTCCACCACAGAGTCACAGGTAAGTCATCATACCTATCTGTAGTGGACTGATCACAGTGTGGAGTCCACTACAGAGTCACAGGTAAGTCATCATACCTATCTCTAGTCGACTGATCACAGTGTGGAGTCCACTACAGAGTCTACAGATGCTGTCCCAGGAGGCCGACCTGGCCTTGTCACAGGTAAGTTATTATACTTATCTGTAGTCAACTGATTACGCTGACCTGGCCTTGTCACAGGTAAGTCATCGCTTCAAGGAGTTTATGCTGCATAAAGTCAGACTTCATACCACTTCATACATATATGTACAGGTATTTTTATTTTGTGTAAAGATCTTGCAAGAACTTGTCCGGTTGATATTGTCAAAAGCAATGTCCTTTTTAGCTCAACTCATCAAAGTTGTCAGCATCAGAGTCCCAGGCCATGGTGAATTGACATTATAGTGAAGTGATTTTCATTCCTCTTGCTTAAAAATACTGTAAAATCACATGTTTTTGTAAGGTCAAATTTTCAAGGTTAGAGGAAAAAGTATTGGTTTGTGGGGATTTGAATTCATGGTTGGAAAATGTTTAGTTGTAATGCATATTGAAATTTTACATTCGTGGGTCTCTCCATACTTCGAACACATCAAAAATTTTAACCCCTACGAAGATTTCATAGTACATGTAGAATGTGAACTTAATGGATATACAAATGACATTTATAACAAAGCTACTTTGTTCTTAGCCTATTTTACTGTATATATGGAGAAAGATTGCATGTGACTCATTCATGTTTACCTTAAATGATTTTTTTTATAACAACAGGTATTCAACATCGTTGGCCATTTGGTGTATTGGGGGAAAGCCACTATCATTTTTCCTTTGTGTGAGACTAATGTTTACGTCTTGTCACCTGTGGCCAATACTTACATGTGAGTATCATTATATACATTTTAAAAACAAAAGAGTTAGACTGGAGTTAGAGTGATCACCTTTTATGTCTTTGTTTTATAGTAACTCGGACCTCTCAGAGGAGTTCAGTCAGCTGTTCTCTCTTTCCCTGTGTGGCCAGTTAGCAGAGTTCTCTTACCCTGTGATGTTAAGAGAGTCAAAAGACGTGTTAAAACCAACAAAACAACAGGTGAGTGAAACATTTACATATGGGTACAGAATCATCTCTATAACCAGTAGTCATCAATCTAGTCAAGAGGCATTGCATCCTTGTATTTATTCATGTTCACTACAAGTCTATACTTAACTTGAAATGAAATCAACAACTTTTGTACAAGAAGTGAATAATTTTCTACATGTACCTCAAGATTACCTTCTATCAACATGAATCAAATTGAAATACTTGTTTTCAAAAGTGATCAATACATGTATTGGTAAAATTCTACTTGTCTCCTGTTTTATAGGATCAGAAGGTGAAGATAGTAGTCTGGATGTTACAGCATCGACTCCTCATCCAGCTCCACACCTATGTCATATTCTGTCCTCCAGCCAGCCGCAAGATAAAGAAGGTATCAGAAGAAATGGGCAGGTCTTCAGGGATGCCTATTGTTCCAGAGGAGGAAAGTTTGTCTGTTTCTGATATTGCATCAGGTAGTTATATCATATAATCCAGGCTGAAGGCTCAAGTGAGCATTTGTAAAGAGAGTTTATGTATCATTTTTTTTTTAAATATCCTAAGTTTTTCAGATTTTTAGGTACTCATTTCATTATCATTTGGCACTTATCTTTGTTTTGAACTTAAAATTTTGCTTTAAAAAGCTTCTTTGACTGAAGGGTATTCAAAAACTATAGAGCATTTACAGGGGAATGTGAAAGAGCCAAAATAGGTGGACTTGAAATATTTTCATATTCCACTGTATTGATTAATCGCACTTTAGCCTTACAAAATACTGTAAATGTATTATATTTAGTGTGTACAATATTTTGCGGAAATTGATTTTTGAACAAGTTAGCGTAGATTTGATTTAGCGCATTTCTTACTGTTCTTATTAATGCATATATGTTTAAGACATTTAGCGTTGTACTTGAATTAGCGGAAGTTTCTTTCCGCCAAAAACGCTAAAAAGAATACACCGCCAAATGTAATACGTTTACAGTAACTGCAGGTGTATCTTTTGCTACATATTTTGCATACCATATAAGTGGAAATTTTAGCGAGACACAAATTTAGTGATTTGCTCTTAAAAACTGGTAATTTATTTTTAGCGAGATGTTATTTTAGCGATTTTAAAATGCACATTAAAGAAGCTATTACAAATAAAGCACGATTAATTTTTAGTGATACTGTAAACCAACTTTTATTCGCGTGCGAGAAATTTTCGCGAAGTTCGCGAGATCCTCGTCATCGCGAATATTTCTCGCCGCGAACCGATTCTTAAAGTCTATGTGTCTGTTAAGAAGAAAACCTTAATAGGCTTTACCGCGAAAATTAATCGTCGCGAACTAGTATACCCCCGGTAAATCGCGAAATAAAGTCGTCGCGAATAAAAATTGGTTTACAGTATTCAATTTTAGCGATCTCGGCACCCTCGCTAATAATGCCAAAATTAAATCCTCGCTAAAAATTCTACTTATACGATATTTAGTCAGTTGTCCTAATTATAGTCAGTATCTGATTATCATTCCTATAAAAGTTTGTACATATTATTTGTATGAGGTAAATCTTTAATTCTTGTTTTACTTTCAGTTAACAGTGATGAGAGTTTAGCCCTGAGTTACCAAGGAATGAGCCAGTTTTCTAAGTCCCCCTCCTCTGATGGGTCCCTGGTCTCTGAGGACCGATACTGGCCCCTCCACGACGAACTGGCCCACCTCTCCAAGGAGGAGAGAGACAGCATTCTGGATACACAGGCTGCTAAAGAGAATGTGGAGGATCTAAAGCTCTTCACCAAGTATGTAATAACTGTAGGGGGTCATTTCCACTCTTTATTGTGTGCACTTTGAGTATTTGAAAGAAATTACTGTAAACATACGTCAATTATGGGGTCAAAATTTTACAGAATGGTAACCATAAGAAAAAGAACTGTGACAGTAATAAAAGCTTGTATAGCTGATTACATCCTGTGATGAAGTCTGCAATATTGTAATATAATAAGTGAAATCTGATTTTCTTTCAGACTCTTTCCATACTTCAGAGGGGACCACCATTTAGAGGAGATCATGTATTATGAGAATCTCCACCGGTCTCAGTTGATGGCCCTGCTGGATAAGTTTCGGTCAGTTTTAATCACCTGCCAGTATGAGGATCCTGCGACCTCATTTACACACATGGACCACCACCAGAAAACCTAAGGATGCGTGGCAGGTGCCCTAAATCCAGAGTCATTCGCTGGGATCATTGTCCAGATAGGAAGAGGGCTTATGAGCCAATCAAAGTCTGGGCTCATCAAATAATGAAGCCCTCATCACTCATGTGATGGATCACAAGAAGTATTGTGTGAACTTATATGAGCTAGGCAGATCTGAATCGCATACATACTGTACATGTATGTGGATAGAAGTCTGTGCAGTTTTTAACATGTGTAAATCATGTGCAGTAATCAAAAAAAAAAAAAAACTTGCCGCCAACTCAGGAAGCTTAAAGTTGTAGTGTATAGTGTCAACTTCATCAATGTAAAGGATAACCTCAGTAAGACATTCAAAGTAAATGATTGCCATGTTTAAGTTGGGAGATGAGATACAGATGACGGTCTTCCAGGGTGTCGAGTGCCATAGATTTTGATTTATTTGACTATGATCAATGTGCTGGATACTTATTTATATGAAGTGTTTGTTTTTACCATTTAGCCCACTGTGCAATAAAGCCATAATATAACAGTAAATTAGAGTTGTCAAAATTAGTTTTAATGGAAACAAGATTCTAGATTTTAATAATTGATCGAGAATATGAAAACATTTTTTTACAATGAATTTTACACTTGAAGGGATGACAATTCCCCATGTTTCTAAATTATTAAATATATTATGAATGTAATAGATGTTAAAAAAGAAGATGAAGAAGAAAAAATAATAATTTTATAAATAACAAATCACTAGCTGTTTGTCCCTGTAGCTGGCACTGTGCAGCAAGTGTGTTTACTGTACATGTTCTTATTTATACCCCTTACACGTGATGTATAAATTCTCATTTCTCATGCATTTTCTGAATTTCATCCACATACACCTGTAGAGTCTTCAGTAGAACACCCACATAAGATTACCGTATATACTTGCCTGTAAGTCGGTCTGCCTAAAAGTTGCATTTTTTCAGGGTATTTAAATTTCGAGGGATTTGCCATTGACCTGCATATAAGTCAGTACAGCCTTTTTGCCAGAGTTAATTGACAATATCAAATTGATACTATAATTCTAAAACAAAGAAAATGGAATATTTTTGAGAAATCAATTAAAATCTGTAATTTCTTTCTGTTTACCTTTGTTCAGAGAATATTTTTGGATATGGCAACCTGAATTTTTCATCAGATTATCATTCATTGTTGGAAACATTTTAGAAATAGGGCATTTTGCTGTTCAAAAAATACTGACTTTTTATTTCTAGCC